TTCACACTAGGTCAATTAATATCAGCTGCAAGCTTGGGGAGTCCACACACACCTTCCTACACTTCAGACCAGCTGGCTCCTGGCACTAATCATGCCAATAGGCTCAATAATTACACAACTTTTCAAACTCCAGACCAGCCAGCCGTTCCTCTCATCTTTAGCCTCTGTAGATAACATTAACGGGTTCCAATGGAACATGTCCATATCAGGCCGTCTCTTCACTGTTGTATTTTCCCTCACTTCCACTCAGTAAGCAGATCCAGGTGGTTGCTACAATGATGAGCACACCAAGCTCACCAGATCCTTTTAACTGTGAGTTCTTCAAAGACCACTTTTTCTGCTGTACATAGTCTTTCCTGCTTTGATGCATCCAGTGACAAATTGCTTGATCAGAATTTTCAAAAGCTAGTCTTTTTTTTTTGTAGGCCTTCCCTTCAAATGTAAAACTCCTGTTCTTTCAGTAGTTCTGGATGGGGCTTAGGCTTTCAGTCTAAGACCCTTACTCTATTTTGACTTAAAAAAGACCATTCTTTTCAGGCAATTCTTAATTCCCCCTATAGCATATCCAATCAAATATAGGCTAAAGGCATACTTACAAGTCCTGTGGTCATGATTAATGTCGTATAATCATGATTAATTTCCTATAATGCAATACTAGGTAGGAGAAATATATAGAGTGTCAGTAGTGAATCCAAGTAAACATATAGCCCTGAACCTTTTTAATAATACCCAAATACAATAATCGCTTCTCCACCCCATATTACGTTACATAAGACCTGGAGACTGGGATGGTTCCGGAAGTCACTGGCCTCCTGTTAATCAGGCAGGCTTTCCCCCCCAGGCTACAGCAGAAGTAGCTTTATATTTTCCTTTATTTAAAAAACAGGATGACAAATATACTTTTAAGGGCATCTTTGATGCAGTGATAATTTTTGTGGGGTATCTTTTTTGGGGGTGGTGGTAAAACTTTGAACAAATTACTGACCTCATAGCAAGTTGCAAGTCGCTAACTTTTTGGGCAAGGAAAATAGTAAAGTGGCAAATTTTACAATGTGTTAGGCTTTAGTAACTACCTATTTCTCATTTTATGCAGCATTGTATTTTTAGGCAATAATGGAACTTGCATAGGCTTTCATGAATTTACTTTGATATTACATATTTTGGGTTCAACTGAACTTTTGGTAAACATGGAGGACATGTAAATGTAAGTTGATTGACACTGAACCTGAGGGAAGCAGTTAGAGCTGATTCATGTGAGGGTAGTTGACCTCTGCCCTAAAGTGCAGTTTGGGTAGACTGTACAATTAACTTGAAGTTCTGAAATTTGAGAAGAGTAGATATTTGCCCTTTTTGAAAAGACTTTGGACCCAACCAAGTAGAATAAATTAAAGATCACAGTATTCCGGAGGTGAAAATTTCTTTTGGTGTAAGATTTCTAATCCACTGTAACATGAGGGCCTGTTATCAGTTCTTAATCAGAAGTAGCCTGAAGTCTTCTCTGAAATATCACAATGTTACCCCACCCCCCCCATCCACCACCCCTTCCTGTCCTTAAATATTAGGTAACTAACTATACTCTAGAATTTGTTTTCTATGTTCAGATCCTCACAGTTTTCATTATATGTGTGGGTTTTGTAAAAGATAGAAGTTATTTAATGTATATATTCTTTGGCCTTTTCTTTTTCCTTGTTGTACACAATTTAGAAAAGGACTGAAAAATGTCACTATAATTTCGGCAGCTAGAAAAATAATCATTAACATTTTATGTGTATTTTTCAAGCTTAAATTTTTTTTTTTT